GCCTCTGGTTTTATTCTGTTTGTCGGTTTGTTTTCTTCATTTGGTTCTGCATATTAGTGAGATAATAAGCTATTTGTCTTACTCTGACTGACTTTTTCACTTAGCATAATACTGATGAATTCTTACACCGTGGCTGAACCTGAAAAGCAGTGCTTTGTGGAGGAAAGACACACAAGACCACATGTGACTGATGTGTTGTTGGACGGCGTCACTCTGCTGTAGGGATTTTTCTCTCCATTATAACCTTACTGGACCATTGCATGGTTTGGTGCTGAGCAAAATATCCTTTTGCGGTGCACGACCATATTGTATGAGTTTATTTATATGGAAGTCCAGAAAAGGAAAGTTAGAGGAAAATACATTAGTGGTTGCGGGGAGCCAAGGTGAGAACAGGGAGTGACTGCAGGTGCATGTGAGGAGTCTCTGTGATGATGGAAACATTCTAAAGCTGGATTGTGGGGATGGTTGTACAACTCCGTAAAACTTCCAAAAATGAATTGCATGCTTAAAATGACTGCAATGTATTTTATGTAATGATACCTCTAGGTGTTAGTTGAATTTTATCAACTACTTTTTCTGCACTTACTGAAAATTTATGATTTTTCACCCTTATTTCATTAATTTTCTAAATTAAAAATTTAATTAAACCAGTCTTGAATCTTGGACTGAATGTAACTTGGTCTTGATATATTGTATTTTATGTATGTTACTAGTAGGTATGATTTACTAATATTTTGTTTAGGATTTTTTGAGATTATGTTTTTGAGGAAGATTGGCCTGTCATGCTTTTTTCTTATAATGTTCTTATCAAGTTTTTGTTTTGCTTTTCTCCATGTAAGACTGTTACATTCTTTTTTCATTATGTGCTCGGAAAAATTTATTGTTGGAGCCATTCAGACATGCAGTTTCTTTGTGGGAAAGTTTTAAATTACATATTCAATTTAATATGTATTTGTGTTTTTAGATTTTTCTATTTCCTTGTCACTTTTAATAAGTTGTGTTGTTCTGGAAATTTGTCCATTTCATATACCTTTCCAAATTTATTGGACCAAGGTTGTTAATATTTGTTTTAAATCCTGTAGTCCTTAGCATGATCCCTCCTGTTCATTCTCGGTATTGGGATTTGTGCTTCTCTGATTTTACATTTTACGTGCTAAAAGATTTCAGTTTTTTCAGAGAACCAACTTCTTTGATTTTCCTCTCTTGCATATTTGTTTTCTGTTTTAAAATTGTGTTTCTGTGTTTCTTCTACTTTGGGATGAATTTTTTCCTGTTTCTCGATGGGGATATCTGATGAGGGAATTTGCCTCCATGCTTTATCAGTCAGTGTGTATGAGCTCTGTTAAAAACCCACTGTGGCTGTAGAGGTGTTCGTTGTTCTTTTTGGTCTGTCGGCTTTTGCTTTGTGTATTTTGGTGCTTTTTTGTGTTACTTATTTTAGTTCAGAATTCTTACGACTTTTCCAGTGGATCACTATATTTATTATTGTAAAACGACCCTCTAGCTCTAGTGATGTTTTTTACCTTAGGTTCCTTTTGTCAGATACTATGATGACTTTATAAGTTTCCTTTAGTTAGTGTTTGCATGTTTTCTACCATTGACTTTAGCCGTTCTGAGCGCTTGTATTTTAAGGTATGTTGCTACTAAGCAAGATTTTAAACTCAGCTTTTAAAATCTTCTGCTTGAAGAATACCCTGTAGTGTTCCTTCTACTGTGTGCCTTCTGGTGACAAACTGTGTGTGTGTGAGAGAGAAAGAGAAAATCTTATTTCACCGTCACTTTGAAGGACAGGCCTGCTCAGTCTTGAACTCTAAACCGACAGTTCTTTCCTTCCCCTGCTGTGAAGGCGACCATTTTCTCTTGAGAAGTCATCATCTTTTTTGGCAGCTTCTACGATTTTGTTTTGGATTTTGGTCTTTAGCATTTGGTCTTGGTATGATTTTCTTTGTGCTCATCCTGTTTTGTATTTAGCCTTCGAGAGTCCCCACTGAAAACCTGGGGTGTTCCTCCTTGGCGGACCCTGAGCTCCAGTTCTGTCTCATTTCTGTGAGATTGTTTACAAACTGACATTTGCTTCGAAGCCCTCATCTAGTTGCCCTCTTGCGTATTCTGTCCATGGTCCCTGGGAGAGCCGCACCAAGCTGTCCCAGAGCAGCCGTGAGTCACGGCAGGCTTGTCAGGGTGAGCAGTGTTAGTCGCTGCTGCTGACCCGAGGGACGGAGGAGGGTGCTGTGGATGACGCCAGCCAGGAGGAGGAGAGCTGCTGGTGATGGCCCGAGGAGACAGGCGGGGGTGGGACCAGTGCAGAAGGGGACCGTTGCTCCTGTCCGGGAAGAGTCCATCCGCTGTCGCAGGAGGGAAGGCAGAGCGTTGTGGGTTCCAATCCTGGTCGGTGGGTAGATTTGGTGGTAGGTGCTGGTGGGCTTTCTCTTCTGAATGCTTTGTTTTCTTAGGAAGTGGGCCTCCAGACCGGTGAGAGGTCTGAGGAAGGGGAGTTACAGATGGCCTGTTCCTGTGGACGGGAGAGCAGAGGGAGTGGGGAGACAGCAGACGGGCTCCCTGGGGGCAGGGGCAGGCCTCAGAGGACTTAAACCGCACAAAGGAAATACTTTTAACTTTTTAAAAAGTAAAAGCACCGAGAAATACTCAGCCTCAAATTAAACTTTGGATACTGTCAAGTAAAAAACTGAGGACCACAGCAGGAATGGGGTGACACTATATTTTCAGGTTCTGGATATTCAAGATTGCAGGGTATGTTTTCAAGGTAAAAACAAACAGGATTTTAAACTTTTTAAAAAGTAGTTTCAAAGTCACAATAGAAATGTTTAGCATTCTGTAGAGAAAGGTAACTGTTCCTAAAATAACCCTGGAGTCCCGAAGAAGCTCCACATCCATGTTGTGGGTCAGGCTGTGCTCAGTTCCCGGAGCACGTCTTCCCTACCCCTCTGCCTGACTGCTGGGCAGTGGATGGCCACTCGCCAGGACCAGACCTGCTCCCCTGAGCTCCTGGCACGGCTTCCGCAGCCTCCTCTCCACCGAGGGAGGCTTTCAGAGCATCTGTGTGGTCAGAGTCAGCGTAGTGTAAGGGCTTGATGGGACCGTGGTGTTGCTTCAGGGGCTCCTGCAGGGCAGCTCATCCAGGGTTCCTGTCTTCCCGTCACTGCTCTGGCTCCTTTGCACCAACCCCTCCTCACAGAGCACTGCGTCTAGGGGCTGTCCTGAGCCAGGGTGTGTCAGCCGGGTGGCACCGAGCACATTTGATATCCTCAGTGTTCAATGGCAGCGCGTTGAACCATTATTTCTTTTACCAAATACATCCTACGAGTTCAGAAAATTTGAGGGTCCTAATAACATTTTTCTTTCATGCTAAATTTTAATTCTTCATGGAAAAACTTGATTAGGAAGACATGTATCAGAGTACCCAGCACCTCACTTATTAAGCAGTGCATGGTTACAGAGGTTGAAGCCCTCCCTCTGTGCACCCCACGCCCCAGAGGTCACACTGGAGTTTGGTATTCTCACTTCCATGCATGTTGTATAACCCTAAAGAGCATTCTGTGTAAACCGGCATTATCCCATGTATCTTTTCTGTACGTAATTATAAGTGTGTGTAATTATATATCCTTCAACATTTTTAGATTTACATATACTTTAATTCCTTCATTTGTATGCAAATTCTTAATTCCATTATAATTTTCCAGTTTTATTAATAATCCTTTTGATCAATATTTAAGTTATTTCTAATTGTTTGCTGTTTTATATATGTTGCATTGATTGTTATTGTTCATATTTCCTTGGGCATATATGTTTGAGAGATTTTCTAGTGTATGTGAATATATAGATATAGTTGTATGTGTGTGTGAGTGCGTGAACTGCAGTTCTTCCGCAGGAAGTGTGTGGGCTCAGTGTCCCGACCTCAGCTGCTTGGTACTTGATACTATGTCTAGTCATGATTGATTTGTAATGGACTAATAAGAGAGTAAGTAGCTGAGTGTATGCCTTCTGTGCGCTAATTTATGTTTTCGATCGTCTGTTTATTTAAATGGGGACCTACCCTCCTCAGATAGTTTAATTTTATTAAAAAGAATGTCTTTGTGGAGCCACAGAGTAAATGGTTCCTGAAAAATTCTTTATGTTTATTTTTCTCTGTTCCAAAGTTATGATTCCATGATAAACTCATAATTATGAAATTGTCAGTTTGTTCATACTTTAAAGCCAGTGATTCCCAGATGTGATCTGTAGTCACCAAGATAGGCATCCATGAAATGTTTTCTATGTAAAAAAACATGATTTGCTCTTTTCACTGGGTTGACATTTGCATCGATGGGGCAGAAGCGACGGTGGGTAACGCTGCTGACATCTTTGCGGGACCACGGAAGTGGCATCGGTCTGTCGTTACTTATGTTAACTTCATTGGGTTTATTTGTATTATTAGATGAATAAATATTTTAAAAATTGGTTTTTGCCTGGCCATTGTGGTTTAGTGGGTTGGGCTTTGTTCCATGCACCAAGAGGTCACTGGTTCGATTCCTGGTCAGGGCACATACCCGGGTTGTGGGCTCGATCCCCAGTAGGAGGCGTGCAGGAGGCGGCCGATGGATGTTCTCTCTCATCCATGTTTCTATCTCTCCCTCTCCCTTCCTCTCTCTCTAAAAAAAGTCAATAAAAATATATTTTAAAAAAAGTGTAGTTTTAGTTTCTAATAGAGTAACTGTCAGTACATACAACCTGAGCATAGTCTTTTCCTTTGCAAGGGCTTAAAGAGGTCCCAAGACCACAAAGTTTGAGAACTACTGTTATGACCACCGTAGGTGCATGAAAAAGCAAATGTCCTTCCTGATGCTTGTCTTTGAGAAGGAGCACTTAGGTAATATAATTCCTTTACGTGTAACAGATAAACTCAGTTCCTTTTAATGTTATATATGAATTTAAAATTTTCAATGCATTTCATTAAAATTTTGTTATAACTAGATAATGTTTGTAAATAAAATCTTTTGCAGGTGCCGACCTTAAGGAAAGGGCCAGAATGAATCCCAGTGAAGTTGGTCCTTTTGTCTCCAAAATAAGAGCTGTGATTAATGAAGTCGGTAAGTGATTAATCAAGTAGGTGAGCATGCTGAAGATGGCCTTGAATGGCAGGTGTAAAAGGTCATACCTGTCTTTATATATAAAATGTGGCCAAAGTACTTACATCATTAGATAATCATGACTGGAATGATGACATGACACGTGCAGATTTTATTACAGGACAAAGAGGAAGTTGGCAAAAGCCTTTGACTTAAGGATCTGTAGCTCTTAAATAATCTCATACACAAATATATTTGTAAGTTTGAATTTTATTGTTTTTCTTTTTTTTTTATCCTCACCGGAGGACATTTTTCCATTTTTTGCTCAGGTAGAGTGGGAGGGAGAGAGAGGAACAGAGAGAGAGAGAGAAACATCGATGTGAAAGGGACACATCGAGTGGCTGCCACCCGCACAACCGACCAGGGCCGGGGACAAACTGCAGCCGAGGTACGCGCCCTTAGCGGGAACCGAACCCGGGTCTCTCAGGACCGCAGGCCGACGCTCTAACCGCTGAGCCAAACCGGCCAGGGCTTGAATTTTATTGTTTTTTACATAAATAGGATTGTACTGTTTCCCAGACTATTGTGTAATATTGATATATCAGTACATACCAATCAATGTTGTCACTAATACTTTTTAATATATTGCTGAATAGTCATCCATAGCATAGTCTCATTCATACTTTAAAATTATTTCTTCATTAATAAACACTTGGGTTTTTTGTTTTTGTTTTTTGGCTATTTATAGACAAGCAGTGAGTATCTTTGTACTTAGTCTTCCAGAGCATGAGCATGTGTATTTACAGGGTGGTTTCCAAACATGGAATTAAAGTCCTCAGTATAATGTGTTCATTGTGCATTTTAATACATCCTACCAGGTTATATTTTAAAAAGATTGCAATAATTTATATTCCCATCAATTATACGATAGTACCTGTTTCCTCATCTTTCTGTCAGCATTTAATGTTGCTGTTTTTAAAAATGTCCAGGGTTACAAAAGACATCTCAGCACCTCCCCAGATGTGCTGTCGTGTTTGATCTTAGGCTGCTTGTTCACAGCCTTCTCTCTTCATACATTATATGATGATTATTTATTTCTATAGCCTTGGTCTTGTGTCTTTTTTCTCCTCACATTCATTCCTTGCTGTTTTATAATCTTTGTACCTTTGCGTTGACCTCCCCCTCCCATTTCTGTTGAAGGCTAGTTATTGTGGGTCTGTTGGAGAGTCACTGATTGTATGTGCTTGTTTTAGAGCACACCGACCTTGTAATACTTGTACCAGTTATTGTTCTTTCTCAATTAATTTTCTTGTGTTTCCTAGATGAAAAGTTTATTATTTGTAAATAATACAATTTTTGTGTGTGTTATTTTTCCAACATTTTCATCTTACATATTTTTCATGTATTTTTACATTGTCTAAGGCCCTTGGTACAATATTCAGTTATTGACGTGAGCATGTTTATCCTTATCTGTATTTGACTTTGATGAATGCTTTTAGTATTTTGCCAATATTTTATCAGATTCAGGAAATTTTCTTCTATGTTAGCTGCCCTGGCCTTGTATTACTAGAATAAACCCTACCTGGTCATTGTGGTTAGTGGCTACAGTGGTTTTGACTATATTATACTGGGTTCAGTTTTAAATATTTTGCTATCATCACAAATGAGATCGATCTTCTGATTTGGTGTCTGTGTTACCCTTTCCTGGCATGGTGTAAGAGTACATACAGCCTTCATTGAAGAAGGGAAACGCTTCCCCTCTCTTTCTCTGCTATTCAGGGGGTCAGCTGCTGTTTGAAGGGTTCGTAGCATGTGACCATGTGACATCTGTTGGTGTCTTGTGTGATTTTGTTATTGCTGTTTACTTTTTAAAAAATATTAATTGTGTTTCTCCCATCACCATTTATCCCCTCTATGCCTTCTTCCATTTCACCCCCTCCGACTCAGCCCCCTGAAATCACCACACTAAGTTTTAAAATATATGTGTTTTGACTTTTCTTCCTCTTTTTATCCTGTGCTAATGTTAGCAGGGCCTTTCTCTGCTCTCCTCTCCAGCTTCAACCGCATGGTCAGAGCCTCCTGAGGGAGAGCGGGGGCTCGGTCTCCATGCTGGTCAGAGACTCGGTCTTGGGGTGAAAGCTGAAGCTGTCTGTGCCTTTCCATGCGTGTGGGAGGAGGCCAGGGCTGGCCCAGCTATACACGTACCTGATGTTTTCTCTGAGCCTTTATCTGGTCTGTCGATCTGAAATGGGAATTTCTTGGGGACTTTTCAAATGAAGAACTGTTTCTGATTTTTCAGTGACATCTTTTCTGTGATTGTAGCCATAGCATTTCTGTTGTGGATCCTAATTTGGTCTACATTTTTCTCCTCCATGAGTTCCCCAATATTTTTATATTGTACTTTATTTTTATTTTTTGGTTAATCCTCATCTGAGGGTCTTTCTTCCATTGATTTTTAGAGCGAGTGGAAGGAAGGGGGTGAAGGGTGGGGTTGAGAAAGAGAGAGAAAGAGAGATCGATGTGAGAAAGAGACACATCGATTGGTTGCCTCCCACATGTGCCCTGACTGGGACCGAGGATTGAACCTGCAACCCAGGTATGTGCCCTTGACCAGGAATGGAACCCACAACCCTTCGGTGTGTGGGCTAATGGTCTAACCACTGAACAGTGCCAGCCGGGGCTTAATGATACCTTTATTGCAGTATTATAATGAATATAAAATGTTTAAGTTGCCTTTTATAGTGGTTTAATGAGAGTTTGAGGCGCAGGTAGAAACTAAGTGTCTCATTCTAACCTACTCATTTATTATAAGAAACCACCAGGGGTAGGCAGACTTTTTCCTAAAGAGACGGATAGTAAATATATTTGGCTTTGCAGAGCCATTATGATCTCTGTCACAGCTTCTCAACCTTTTTTCTTTGAAAGACTTTATATTTCTTTTATTTATTTATTTTTTAAATTAATTTTTGTTACAGATGTTTCTCCATTCCCCCCAATGATTGCCCCTCCCCCTCCCTCCCCCTCCCTCCCTGCCCTGTCCCCAGTTTGTTGTCCATGTCCACTGTTCATGCATACATGCATATAAGTTCTGTGGTTTATCTCTCCCCCACGACCCCCTCTTCTGGGGATTGTCAGTCTGTACCCCACTTCCACATCTCTGGGACTACCCCATTCCTCAGACTGTTATGTTCATTATATTCCACAAATAAGTGAGATCATATGATACTTGTCTTTCTCTGTTTGCCTTGTTTCACTTAGGATGATACTTTCCAGGTCCCTCCATGTAGTCTCAAAGGATAAGAGATCTTTCTTTCTTACCGCTGCATAGTACTCCATTGTGTATATGTACCACAGCTTTTTTATCCATTCGTCTACTGATGGACACTTGGGCTGTTTCCAGATCTTAGCTATTATAAATAGTGCTGCTACAAACATGCTACAAATATTCTTTCTGATTGGTGTTTCAGGCTTCTTAGGGTATATTCCTAGAAGTGGGATCACTGGGTCAAATGGCAGTTCCATTTCTAATATTTTGAGGTAACACCATATTGTTTTCCATGGTGGCTGCACCAGTCTGCATTCCCACCAGCACTGCACTGGAGTCCCCTTTTCTCCACACCCTCGCCAACACTTGTTGTTTGATGATTTGTTGATGGCGGCCATTCTGACAGGTGTGAGGTGATGTCTCATGGTTGTTTTAATTTGCATCTCTCTGATGATTAATGATGATGAGCATTTCTTCATATGTGAAAGATTTTATATTTCTAGAGCAGTTTTAGTTCACATAAAAATGGAGACGAGGGTACAAAGATTCTGCATATACCCCCATCTCCACATATTCATAGCCTCCCCTATTAATAACATCCCCCTCCAGAGTGATGCATTTGTTACAACTGATGAACCTACATTGACATCATATAATCACCCAAAGTCCGTGGTTTACATTAGGATTCACTCTTGGTGTAAGCTATTCCATGGGTTTGAATAAATGCAAAATGACATGTATTAATCATTATAGTGTCCTACAGAGTATTTTTATTGGCCTAAAATCTCTCCGTGGATGGCCTCATTGTCCCCTCTCCCCTCTCTGGTAACCACTTTTTATTGTCTCCATAATTTCGCATCTTTAGATCGTTACTCATACAGTTTGTAAACTTTTTTTTCTTTCTCTTTTTCCTCCCTCCCCTCCCCACCCTCCCCTTCCCTCCCCTCCCCTTCCCTCCCCTCCCCTCCCCTCCCCTCCCTCCCCTTCCCTCCCCTCCCCTTCCCTCCCCTTCCCTCCCCTCCCTTCCCTCCCCTCTCTCCCCTCCCCTCCCTTCCCTCCCCTCCCTCCCCTCCCCTCCCCTCCCTCCCCTCCCCTCCCTCCTCTTCCCTCCCCTCCCCCTCCCCTCCCCTTCCTCCCCTCCTCCCCCTTCCCCTTCCCTTCCCCTCCCCTTCCTCCTCTCCCCTCCCTCCTCTCCCCTCCTCCTCCCCCCTCCCTCCTCCCCCTCCCTCCTCTTCCTCCCTCTGCCCCTTCCCCTTTCCCTTCCCCTCTTCATGCCCCTAGTGGGAACCCAACCCAGGACTCTCTGGTCCATAGGCCCACACTCCAACCGCTGAGCCAAACCGGCCAGGGCTGTACCCTTTTCAAATTGGTTTCTTTCACATAATCACATGCATTAAAGTTTTCTCCATGTTCTTTCATGATTTGATGCTTTATTTTTAGCACTGAATAACATCTCATTGTCTGGATGCACCATCGCTTATTTATCCATTCACCTACCAAAGGAAGTCTTGGTTGCTCCCAGATACTGGCAGTTTTGAGTGAAGCTGCTGTAGCATCTGTGTGCAGGCTTTTGTGTGGACGTAGATTTCCACTTTCTCTGTGCGAATACCAAGGGACACAATTGCTGGATCATGATGTTGGGAGTGGAAATGGGGTCCTTGTGGTGTCGTGAGACATTTTTTGGGGACCCACACAGGAGGATGAGGTCTGGTGGTAAGATTTATTTGGGTGGAAATAGAAGGCTGCCCCAGGGTCC